CAGGCACCGAGCCAGTTCAGGTTTGTATTAAAGCATTCTATCAAAGCCAGAAAACATATGTATCACGAAAAACTTTGTAAGACTATTTTATTAGAAGAACGTCAAACAATTTCTCTGAGGAATTGCTAAGATTTCACAAATATATACGAATATCAATATAAATGTGTACAAGTTTCTGTATATTTTATTTCACTAATAAAAATATAAAACTTATTTTCCTTATGCTATTTTTCTCCTTACTATCACAATCCTGACACTGAAATTTGTCCCTAAGATAAAATAATCCTATTATTAGAATCATAAGGTATAACTTTTCCAAAAAATTTTGAATAAAAATTGTTTTAGTAACCTAAATCTACAAAAGATGCCTCAATTAGTTTTCATAACACAACCCAAGGCTTACACATATTCATGGTTAGAGAGCTGGTGTTCTATAAGAATCAGTGAGTCATGCGTCAATTTGGCTCACAGAAAAACAACAAAAAGGCCTTTCTGTGCCTATGAGCTCCCTCTGCTCAGAAGGGATGCAAAATGATTTTAATAGATCCTCCCCAAATTTCTGCAGGTTGATACCATCAGTTTAAAGCACAGGACATCAAACCAGTGGAAATACAATATATTTTTAATGCTTTCCTACATCACAAAATTGTAGGACAAAATTATGTAATATTAATAACTTGTCTTATGTAACTCTCTCTGTGGATATCAGGTGCTTCTATACATTGCTTTATTATCTTGTTTCATTTAAATGAAAGCAATTGCCGTTAAAAATTCAAATGGTAAGTAAACTAAGAGAAAGGCCTACTGAGGAGTAGCCCTTACCTGCTGCATCAAATTCAATCGGCTGGCACCGGCGAGTGGGAGACCAGTCACACTTTAGGACTTGCCCTCCTTCCACAATCCCAGGCTGGGTAGTGTTGGCCTTGGGAGCTCCCACCAACAGAAACATCCTGCTAAAATACAAAGGACGAAGATAAGATTTAAAACGACACAAAGCACAACTAACACCTTATGATTCATGACAAGCAATCATTCCTTTGATATTATTTACAAATACTTCTTAAGACCATTCACTGGGGGCATAATTTTTGTTATTCCTTGATGTTCTCTTACAAACGTTATTTGGTATATCTAGTAGTTATTTTTCCCAATAACTTTCTAAGGACACTTCTGGGTTACATTCTTTTAAAATTTTATGCTGGTCAAACTACACTTTAAAGTATGTAAGTTTACTGCATGTCACATATCTCCATGAAGCTATTGAAAAAAATGTATGCTGGCTAGAGTCAGGGAAATTTTGCTCTGGTTTGTGTCTGTGATCTGCCAAGTATTTTCCATGTCCTGAATGCTTAGTAAAAAAATAAATAAAATAAATGATCTCAAAGTACAGTAATTATAAATATTACTCTTTTCCCCTTTAGAAAAATTATCTCTATTAGAACTATTACTGCACTTTATTTCTTTAAATAATGACTACCAATTTTCCCTTCATAACATTAATCCAATCAATTCCTGGTCAAGGATTGGGACCACTATTCAATTATTTACCAGGGTAAAAAGAATTGAAGACAAAATAATTAGGAGCCAAAATTTTTGTTTGTTTGTTTGCTTATGTAAGACAGAGTCTTGCTCTGTCACCTGGGCTAGATGCAGTGGCATTATCACAGCTCACTACAACCTCAAACTTCTGGACTCAAGCAATCCTAACATCTCGGCTTTTGGTGTGTCTGGGACCATCTACAGGTGTGCCCCATCATGCTCTGCTAACTTTTCTATTCTTAAGTGTTTTCTATCCATTCAAAAATAGGGATGAATTGCCATGTCTCCTCTTGGACAGTAGAGATACCAGAAAGAATGAAATAATCTTGGTTCCTGGTCTTAATGTGGTTTACGTTCTTGGAGGCAAGAAATTAGCCAACAAAAAACAATTTCTGTTATAAGTTCAGTAAACAATTGGCTGAAAGATCATCTGGGAAAAGGCGAGGGAGACTTTCAGACAAAGTAAAGTTACCTATAAGGAACTGGATGGTTTAGGTAAAGGGAAGTCTAAGAATATTATTTTTAAAGAATGGAAAGAAGAAATCTCTTTTAGATTGAGTAGTCAGAAACATTGTCTCTAAGGAATGCACCAGAAAATTGAGATGTACAGAAAGGTACCTAAGAGCTTTTGTGTGCTGGGGTGTTTGGTGGGCTGGTGGCAGTGAGTGGGGGGGCAATGGGGTAGTCAGGCTTCAATAGGAGAAGAGGTAGATGGGAGCACCCCATGTAGAAGTGGAAAATTCTGAATAGAAAAGAATTTAGTCTCCAGAGTTTAAAGAAGTATGGCTGAACCAGGACAGCAGCTACCAGTGGCATATGACAAAGTCAGAAAGCCTGGTAAGAGCCAAGTCTAGCAGGGTCTTTGGCCATGGTTAAACTTTGTATGACATGCTTAGGGCCATGCCTTTGAATGTTTTTTTCGGAAGAATCATCTAATAAAACTAAATTTCATGACTCATGGAGAAAACATTAAGGGAGAAGAAAACAAAGATGGAACAAGGAAAGCCAAAGACTGGCAGCAGCTCAAGGAGGTGATAGGGACCCACAGGAGGAGAGTAGGTGGACAAAGAGATGGGTGGCAGATTTCAGGAACATCTAGAGTAGAAGGAGCAGGAATGGCTTGAGGCTTGACTAGGAGAGAAAGGGAAGAGTAAAGAATATGAACCAGGTTTCCTCCTTGAATGCAGGGATAGCAGAAAAGTGTAGAGAGTAGGGAAGCAGAAAGAGGATTAAGTATTCACAGGAAAACCACAAATTCAGTTTCTTTTCTTCTTCTTCTTTTTTTTTTTGAGACAGGGTTTCCTGCTGTCTTCCAGGCTAGAGTGCAGTAGCTTCATCATAGCTCAGTGCAACCCCGAACTCTTGGACTCAAGTGATCTTCCTGCTTCACCCTCCCAAGTACCTGAGACTACAGGCACATGCTAATTTATATATGTTTGTTTGTTTGTTTTTAAGACAGAGAGATGGGGTCTCACTATGTTGCTCAGGTAAGCCTTGAACTCCTGGCCTGAGGCAATCCTCCAGCTTCAACCTTCCAAAGTGGTAAGATTACAGGCCTGAGTCACCACACCTGCACTGGCTTCAGTTTTTAACATGTTAGTTTAAGACATCTGTGAGACATCTAATGGCTACTGTGGAACTCTGAGGCGTGTTCTGCGTGTGAGATAATGTGTTCAGAGTGTTAGAACACAGATGGAAGAGTTCACCCAGGAGAAGCTGCAGAGAGAAGACGACCAAGATATGAGCTCAGAGATGCCACGGCATTGAAGAGTCAGGAAGAGAAAGAAGACAGAATAAAAGTTCAGAATAAAAGCTCAGTCTTGCTTCTTAAGAAATTAATTGGAAAATAGGAGAAGGCTCGG